ACTTTAAAGACTGGGACAGAGAGTGTAATCTTGACCATATCGATAGCAACCCTAGCATGGTCTGAACCCATGTATGTGTCCTGTTGAAGTGACAACAATGAGTGATCCTCCTTTGTACTTCACACCTCGCTGCATCTCTTACAAACATCAGGACAGTCCTGGCAACTGCCAACGTGACTTCCTAACAAAGAAACGCTTTACTTTTTGCAGCATTTAGAGTCCCTAGGGATTGTGAACAGAGTCTGATTTAGACCCCTATTGTGCCATGAGTGAGGGTGATCCCTGTTGGAGCTGAGAGGAGCTAATATTTGCTTCCCTGTTATGCTCACCGTTACGGAGACTCCCAGTCTCTGTAAGTGCAGCGACTGAGTGCATGTGGGTATCGCTGTTTTTCAAGGCCAGTAGTCAGACTCGTCAACCTGAGGAATTTGGTGGTTGGGGCTACTTGGCTCCTACCCTCCTGCTCCACTCTTTGTGCCTTTCCAACCCTCAAAATAAATGTCCAGCTAGAAACACAGATATTGACCGAAGAGTTTGGCTGAAGATGGAATGAGCAGAGTGCGAGACAAATAGAAAGTTTATCCTGTGACTGAAAGGGAAACAGTAGCTCCTTCACTGGGCTGCTCACCTCTCTCGGGCATTCACTTTCCATGATTAGCTTTAGATCCCACTCAAGCCTTCATCCCCTGCACAGACAGATAAATAGAGTGGAACAAATGGAAAGGGCACACAAGTTCCAAGGTACCTGGCTCTCGTAAAGGACTGAGTGCTGACACAAGGCTTTATCTGTAATGCAAGTCTCTGCCTTCAAAAAATATAAAAAAAACTATAAAGCCTTGAATAATTTACCAATTTCCAGGGTTAAAAGGAAGATTTATGATGTTTTCTTCTGACTGGGAACAGGTAATCTTTTCTCTTCTGGAAAAGCAATTGTACTAAAGGCTCCTTTTTCTGAGGAGGTTGAAAAGCAACTGCTGGAAGTTCATGTCTCCACATGATAGATGGACCCCACTTGTCCTGTTCATACAACATGGCCAAAAAGCTGCTTCTGACTTTGTGGTGATTCAGTAGGGCAGAGCACCCAAGAAGTAGAAAATGTGGTGGTGTTCTTTGTACCCGTAGCGTGGCTCAGGCACTTGCAGACTTATGCACATATCAGTACATAGGTGCGGGAGCTAGGGGTACAGCAGCAACTCCCTGGATTGAAATGGTCTCCATTATACCTAGGGTTTACAGTTTGGTTCCATGGCACCCCCATGATATAATTTGTTCCAGCACCCCTTTATCAGTATCTAGTAGAGAGTGTTTTGTCCTATCTCAATTCTTTTCCTGATAAAGATCTTTTATATTTCTGAAAACAGAATGGAGTGATAACAGAGACAGGCTAAAACTGGAATGTCTTCTCCCCAAATGTTGGTGTGTTGGATAAAATAGAATCTAGATCTGACCCACCCTGGCTTTGGTTTTGCAAACTCCAAAAGGCCACATTGATTTGCCCATTAACCTAAAGGGGCTAAATTAGACCCGTAACAGAGGTGTTATCTTTGACCTGACCCTTTCAGTAGACCCACATATTTAGTCGAGCTCTAAATCTTTCTGCTTTCAGTAACAACATCCTAACAATGTGACTGGATAAAACACTGTCGTCCTTTTGGTCCATATTAGATTGAATTAATTTTTAAAGAAATGTTATTAGACATTTTCCACATGCCATCACGACAGATCAGATTGCAGATTTTTTTAGGTGCCCTAACTACATTTCCTTACCTGAACATATTTGGCCCTTTTTTTTAAGTTTGACATAAACCCAGGGAACTCAGAGTTAATAATGTTTGGTTTGATGATAATTATATTCCTGTGATAAATTTTACCCAAAATTACTGGTACTCTGAACTTTAACTCCATTTTAACCAAAATTTTGTCCAGCAACTTGCTTGTTTGTTAGGTTTTTTTAGTCCATTGTAGTGTACATGAACACTAAATAAGAAATGCAAAAAGAATGATATGATTTTTTTCAAAAAATAATGAGTCCTGTGGCACCTTAAAGGCTAACAGATTTATTCAGGTATAAACTTTTGTGGGCAAGGACAGTGTAGACATACCCTTTGTGTTTAAGGTGTCCCAGGAATAGTTGTACAGACTAACATGGCTACCCCTTCTACTTATGATATTTTTTGTGATTTGAAAACATAAAGTATCGACTTCAATTCATTTTTAATTTCAATGGCCAATTTCATTGGTTCGCTCTGGCTGCTTTATGCCACCCTTGAGCAATATAGAAACAACCAGAAGATTTCACTGAGTTCTAACTGTACAGAGTTTTGAAGCTATTTCCATTATTTAGACCATAAAGAACAAATAAATGGTCTGACAGTGGGTGCCAAATTCCTCCATGCATTTACTTAATTCTGTGCCCAAATAATAAGGGCACTAATTTGGTGGAGGAGACACTATATATTTCATACATAGTGAAGAGAGTTGTAAAATTCAACTCAGCCCTGACTATGAAGATACTACTGGTGCCTCCGTAATATTTTGACCTTCCTCTCCCCAGCCTAAACTTTAATGTGTTGGCACACAGAGACCCAGATCCAAAACCCATGGGCTTGGATTTGCAAACTCAAAAGCTGGCTGCCTTGGCATATCTCTGATTGATAGCATCTGGCCTATGGTCTAATTCAAGGCTATGTGAGAGCTCCACACTGAGATTGTGCAAATGCAGATCCCTCACTGACCTAGTTCCCTTTCTCTCTGTCATTTGCCACTGTTTTCATCTTTCCCAGTCAGTCTCTTCAGTTTGTCCCTATCTGACCCACTTTCCCAAAGAATGCTCAGAAAGCGAGAAGGGTGGCTCTATGAAACAAAGGATTAAGGCACTAAACTTCACCATCTGGAGTAGTTCATAAAGAGAAATGAACATTGAACTGAAGTGGAAGAGCTTTAAACAAACTCTTAATTTACTTTTCCACTACAAAATCTTGTTTCAATCCCCTCCCTGGCATTGGTGTGACAGGGCCTTCCTCTGTGCCTTGCACTCGTCACAATCAGAAGTGACATTTACATGAGAAGTTCATAATGAAATTAACCCTGACTCCTGCAAACATGAAATTGGAAACAAAAAGATCCCTGGGGCCTTTGGTGCTTCCCTGACATTAGCGTTGCCCTTCTAGGAGGTGAAGGTACATGCTGCCTGTGCACACAAACACCCAGCGCTCAAGTTACTGATAGCCCCCTTGGGAGAGGGCAGTTCTATCTGAGCTGCTTCAAGACTTCCCTTGGCTGCATAGCATGTGGCTAAGGAATGTCCCATTCCGGAGACAGGCTGGTTGTGTTGTGCCTCATGAAGAGGGCAGATGCGGAACAGTGATCTTTCCCAAAAGAGAAATGTCTGGGGAGGAAAACACGACTTTCTGCTGGGATTGTTTTGCTGGTTTATTAAGAAACAAGCACAGTTTGCACTGGATCCTTTGGTTCCTCTTGCATTTTGCTTCTTTACCCTTTTTATAACCTATGTTCAGGGGGGCTGGAACAGTTTGTGCAGTGGGGGTGCTGAGAGCCATTGAACTGACCAGTAAACCCTGGATTTAATGACAACCGCTTCAAGCCAAGGGGTGCTGCAGCGCCCGCCGCTGTCTTAGTTCCAGCACCTATGCCTATGTTATGATGAGAGGTTTTTACCATGTGTTGAGATTCCACCCTTCTCTGTGTGTCTAATTTCTCCTTCAGCAAAGCACCTGATCATGGGAAGCGGTCTTGATAATAGGGATGTCAGCATGTAGCTGACTACATGATTAACAAATAAACCTAGGCTTATGGGTTAGTCCTATCGACGACATGTACTCCCCTCCCCCCCCCTTGCTACCTCTGTACCAGTGAAGGACGGGAGGCAGGAGCTGGTGCCCATGAAAAGATGGCTTTTAAGCTGGCTTCCCACAAGCACTGGATCAGCAGAGCCGCCTGCCCCACTCTCGCCCCCCACTGCTCCCTCTGATAGAGAGGCAGTAGCAGATACTGTGAGGGGAGCAGGCAGGAGCAGATACACGCAGAAAACTGGCTTTCAAGCCGGCTCCCCCCACATATCAGCTTACACAGAGCCACGTGCCCCCCCTTGCTGTCTCCCTCAGAGGCAGCAGGGGGGGGGAAGGTCGGGGAGGCTGCTCCATGGGAAGCCAGTGCAGCCTCTGTCCATGGGGGGCGGGGTCTGGTGCCACCCTGTGCTGCTGCCTCCGTATCAAAGGCAGCAGCACAGGGGGGTAGGCTGGCCTGCGTTGGGAGCCGCCTGCCACCTTGTGCTGCTGCCTCTGCCACAGCTGCTGCCTCTGCTGGGGCTCCCCAGCAGTGGAGTCAGGAGCATACTGGCTCCTGGCCCTGCCCCCACGTTAAATAATCGTGTAATCACTCTGGGTCTTTTATTGCAGTGTAGACATACCCAAACCAGGGGGCCTAATTAAAGATAGATCACTGGCTCATTTAAAAGGAATATTCATTGAAAACATGTCGTCTTTTCCTCCAAGAGAGGAGTGGCCTAAGGACTTTGGATCCTTAATGGAGAAAGAGCTCTTTGACTATTTTCTGCCACCCAAGACCAGGCTATTCAAAGATTTTTCTTCTAAAGCATCCCTGGTTCTGCTTTTTCTGCTGTGACTGCATGTGTTAATTGTTCAGACCCTTTAAAGTTTATTTTCAAGATATTTTAAATATTCTTCCTACTGCCTTGTAATTCATTATTCATTTGAGGCTCACAAGGGGGGGTATTGTTCAGAGATTTTGGAAATGCAGAACTTAATAATGGTCCAATTAAATCATGTGTTGAACACCTGCTCTGCAGCAGATAACGTTACCTTGATTAGAATAAGATGTACACTGAAGGAGCCTCCATAGCAAGAGTGCTAGAATTCTTCAGTATTTGAAGTGAAATGAAACCCTACTGTATTAACAATTTCTTTCTTCCTTCCCTGCCCCTCATTTCTCTCTTCTCCACCCCTATCTTCTCCTCTCAGGCCTCCAGCTCCTCTGGTGGGAAGATGCAACTTCTGGAAACTGAATTCTCTCTGACAATTCGTGAGCTCATCGATCTGCACCTGCTGCACCAGGACAGCATTCCAGCATTCCTCAGCGCCGTCACCCTCGAACTCTTCAGCCGCCAGACTTGTGCTTAACCCTCACTGAAAGCTAGCCTGGCACCTTCTAGATGTGGCTCAGGACTGTCGTTTCACCGCTGGCCTGCCTAGTGCAGTGGAAAGGGGATCCAGGAGCTAATCAGGCCAAGTTCTTTTGCTTCTGTTGCATACGGTTGCTTCCCATTTCTTTTACAGTCCCCTCTCTCCTTTTCTCCCCAAACACATCATGGCTGTTTGAAGAAGCAATTAAGATTCCCACAATACAGTTTCCAGGGGAGAACAAAAATAACTCCAGGTCAGAGCTCCCTTTTGCCAGCTGTCCACCTCCCTATTGAACATTGAGACCTTTTTATTAAATTGTCAGCTTCTTATGTAGCCTGTCTCAGCAGGAGTCACTATAGAGAGGGCAGGAGAATGTTGACTTTGGGGAGCTCACAGCTGCTCAAGTCCCAGCTTCTTGTAGGTGGATCCTGTTGAATTGGGTCTCAACCTCTCCTACATGAAAGCTCTTTGAAGCTCAGCGCACAGGCTATAGGGGAAATGACAGCTTGAGCAGCCACCAACTAATGAGGGTTGGCTTCTGGGAGTGCAGGACAATTGTGGAGGACTGGAGTCATGGCTAGTGGGGCCCTTTGGATACAGCCTGCTCTCATAGACAGCTCGCTGCTCAGTGAGAGTTGAGAACCGTTCAAGACAGAAAGCTTTGCAAGATCATGTCCTTCATAGCTGGTTTGTCAGAACTCAGCACCTGTGTGGACCCTTCTCTCTTCCCCCTCTTACGCTAAACGCCCAGTGCTTAGACATCACTGGAGTGCTTTTCCTTCCTTGCACAAGACTCTCGGGTTGCTTGGCTATTTCAGGCTATTTTTGGGTGTAACCGTCACCACCTCTCTCTCCCGACTGCAGAGGGATCTTTCTGACAGCTCTGAAAGGCTGTACTGTAATAGAGGGGCTGGTTAGTTTGTTTTTCAGATTAAAGTATCACTTTCCCATCTGGGCGTATGCTTCTTTTATTTGACGTTTTTACTCCCTTCCCTCCCTTACCCAGGGCATCATAGGTATCCGATTGATAACAAATGGTCAATTGGTGGTGCTTGGGTTTACCACAGGAAGGGAGGGTGTACAGGGGCGGCCTAGGCGCCCGATGATGACATCACGCCATTGACGGCTGTGCAGGCGGGGGCACCGATCGTGCCTTCCGCCTGGGGCGCCAGCTGCCACAGCCGGCCTTGGGCCACTCCTGAGGGTGTATTATACAGTCCTTCAATTTTTGAGGCACATCTCATTACTGCCAGAAATGATACTAGTCTCTACACATTATCCAAAAGTGATTCCTACTAATACAATGGCTTCCCCTTTGTACTTTATTCCATTACCCTGTGGGAAGGCAGTAGCTCCTCCATTCTCAGTAGGAATCATACTGAGGACACTCACAGTAACTCTAGGCCCAATCTTTCCCAACTAGAATGACTGAAGCAAACAGAGTGTGGAGCTACAAGCGCAAGAAGTAAACAGTTGCTCCAGTTCAGCGTTATCTGTAAGCTGTGCACTTGGGCAGCCTCTCATGAGAGATTCAAATGCCTTCCAGCTGATTAGCAGAGAGCCCACAGCTAGCCGCATGTGTTTATATTGGTGGTGCACATTCGTGCATGCCTCAGTGCACATAACAACATTTATTCTGCACATGGATGGAAAAAATTAAAGGGAACAAATTGCTCCCACCCCAGTTTTCATAAGTGGTGGAAGGCGCAACTTTTGTGAACGGATCACAACTCCCCCATTCTCATTGTGGTTACAGGGCATTAGCATAGCCATTTGAGTGAAGACCAATAACAAAAGTTTGCCATTTTCTCTGAGGCTGGGAGAAGCCCTGGTTGAAGATGGATTGCCTGGCATTCTGTGCCAGGGGAACGCTGTCTGATTCATATGCACGACATGAAGCTAAGACTCGCCTTCATCAGTCATGAAGAAAATGAATCATGACATCAGCCCCACTCAACTTCTCGGCCAACATAATAGCAGAGCCTGGCTGCTTCTAGAAATCTTTCTCTTGGCTCCTCGCAGGAGAAATGAAGTAATTAATAAGTTTACATTAAACCCACTATCTTAGCAAAACAGAGGTGATGTGAGAAGCAGTGCTGGAAACTGGCAAGGGAAGGCAGCCTCCTGCCCATTAGAAAGTTGCCTCCCGAGGGTGAATGGATAATAGGCTAGGTTAGAAGAAATATCTCTCTTCAGAGACTCCCTCAGTGTGGGGGAGAGACATTGAGATGAATTGCTGCTTTCAGCCATGGGTTTCCGAAGAAGCTAGTTGGTTCAACAAGGTTTAATAAACCAGCACTCCAGTGAATTATAGCCTCTGCCCCTTGTAGAACAGGGCTTCTGCCCTGGCATCCGGGGGTAATCTGGTGTATAAGAGTCTGCTCTCTGCAGACAAGAGTTCCTGGCCAGAGGGCGCTTCATTTGTGCATACACTGCCCCTGAAGATGGCATGCCTGGTTTCAGAGAGCACATGCCAGTGCTCCTGATTTCTTCCAACAACGACTCTTCCCTTGGCATCCAAGAGGTCTCTGTATGGAGGCTCCCTGTGGAGAGGGGCCTTGCTAGTGAGTAGCAATTAGCTGTGCATCAAACAATGACCTTTGGGAAACTCAGCTCCTGTGCGGTTTGCTGACTGATATGGGAGCATTCAACTGAAAGTGTCGACTGCAAGCAGCTCTACACTAAATGAGCAAGCAGCCATGTTTAGTCAGGAAGTGTCAGCAGTGGGAGTTCAGAGTTTCTAGGGTCTAGTCTTGGCTCTGGCACAGATTTGATGGGGAGCCTTGGACAAATCACTTAGCCCCACTGACTTAGTTTCTCCCTTCTATAAAATGAGGATTCTAATGCATATCTAGCACAAGGAGTTGGGAGGAATAATTCTGATGCTAAGACTTGCAATGATTGTTGATTACATGCTGAGCCACTTGGAGTTAGACTTATCTAAGAAGCCCCCCTGCTGTGAGAGCACACAATGGCATTGCCTCCCACACTGCATTACTCCTACTAAAAGGGGAGGCAAAAGAATTGTTTCGGCAATAAAACAGAGACATGGAGTGTGCCCTGGTGTACTGTTGCTTTAAGCACTCCTGGATCTAAATGCCAGATGAGTTAGAGTCATCACCGGGATAAGAGGTTGGGTACTGATGAAGTGGAAAATGGGGAATCCTGAGGGGTCAGCAGGATGGGGGGGTAAGAAGCTGGGAACGGGACAAGCTGAGGTGGGTGATGGGGATGGTGAGGCATGGAAAAAGTGAGGAGGGACAGAGAACCCTCAAGGGCACAGCAGCTGGTTGAGAGAAGCTGAGGAGAGGAGGAGTTGCTGATAAGTGTGGTGTGAAAGAAAGGGGGGAGGAGGATAGCTCAGTGGTATGAGCATTGGCTTGCTGAACCCAGGTTTATGAGTTCAATCCTCAAGGGAGCCATTTAGGGATCTGGGGCAAATCTGTCAGGGATGGTACTTGGTCCTGCATGAAGGTAGGTGCCTTGACTCAATGACCTCTCAAAGTCCCTTCCAGTTCTAGGAGATTGGTATATCTCCATATACATATAGTGGGGAAAGGAATGGAGTTGGGGAAGGATAGGAGAAGGTGGGAAAGATAGAGATGATATTGGAGCCAGCAAGAGAGCAGGAGGCTCTGATACAGGATTCATGATTTATAAATTAAGAGGAGAAAAACAAACTACCTGAAACTGGTGTCCACACAGCTGCAACTGTAGTGCCTCCACACAGATACTTGCAACAGGAGGTTTCCCCTCTCATAGTACATAATCCACCTCACTAAGAAGCTGGTAGTTAGGCCAGGGAAGAATTCCTCCATTGACAGCATGGCCTATGGATGGGTTAGATTGACTTAACTATGTTGCTCAGGGCTGTGGATTTTTCCTGCTGGTGAGAAGCATAGCTATGCAGATGTCTCTTTTCACTGCAGACCAGCCCTAAAAGATCTCTGTCCTGTTGTTGAACGACGGTCCTGGGAGATCTGGGAAAATCAGCTATTCCAGGTTTGGCCTCCCCCACAGGAGACAGTCTGGCTATGTCTACACTGCAGAATTTTTCCAGGATAGCGTCCAAGGCACGTGTATGCTCTTCCAAAAAAAGTTTCAGAAAAGCAGACGTGTTTTTTCAGCATCCCTGTAAACCTTGCTTCACAAGGAAGAATGGATGTGCCGAAAAAAGGGGGGTTTCTGACATTTGGCTCCATATAGACAGGCCAAATGTTGGAAAAGCCTCTTCTGACAAAAGAAGCAGAAAAAGAACACCACAGTGTAGACACAGCCTCGGGGGGGCTCACCAACTCCAATCATCACCTCTCCCAGAAGGAGTCCTCAATAAGGATAGTTTGGGAGAAGTCACTACCATTAGGGGAACTGAGTCACTCATCCACAGTCCTCTCATCCCACTGCTCTGAGTGCCGACGGTCCTGGGGAGTTCACAGCTACTCCTGCCCCAGCCCCTGTCAGCAGAAGTCTCTGGGGAGGAGTGAGTGCTCACCAACTCCAATCATCACCTCTCCCAGAAGGAGTCCTCAATAAGGATAGTTTGGGAGAAGTCACTACCATTAGGGGAACTGAGTCACTCATCCACAGTCCTCTCATCCCACTGCTCTGAGTGCCGACGGTCCTGGGGAGTTCACAGCTACTCCTGCCCCAGCCCCTGTCAGCAGAAGTCTCTGGGGAGGAGTGAGTGAAATGCATCAGCCGTTGCTGAAGTACACACAGTGGATGCCAGTCTCCAGCTGCATTAGTTGCCGTAGGGATCAAGTTGAGAAGGCTATTTTCTGTGCCGTGTTGGAAACAGCCTGGATTTTACATCCTGTCTCATTCCGCACCCTGAGAATTTGAAAGTCTCTCTCTCTCTGGTTGGGCTGATTCTGCAAAGGGCTTGCCACAGAGTGGGCTGGAGAGGCCCGTGCAGAAGTCACTTTAACTTCAGAAGCCAGGAGAGGAGAAGAGAGCTTCTATTCTCTTTTCATTCTGGCCGTACAATACTTGGGATGGGAAAGGAGGCAGAGCACTGAAAACCTTTCATTCCAGGGGGTGTTCTCTCTTGTCTTGGGTCAGGGCAGTGAAAGATCTTTTTTCAGACTCTAGTGCAGCCTCCCCCACTGTATGTAGAGGCAAGAAGCCTTGTTTTCCTGCCTCCCCCCACTTCCTATGCAGATTAAGGACCTGCTCTCTGTTGTAAGTGTGCCATTCCAATGCTTAGCTGAAACAAAAAGACAGAACTATGTAGCACTTTAAAGACTAACAAGATGGTTAATCTTGTTAGTCTTTAAAGTGCTACATAGTTCTGTCTTTTGTTTCAGCTAGACCAGACTATCACTATTCCAGTGCTTAGTGCTGATTTGCAGTAGGAGGCTGGTCTCTGGCTACAGTTGGGCAGGTGCAGAGCCTGCCCTGGAAGCATGGTACAGTGGCCACAGTTGATGGCAAAATGCCACAGATGAAAGAGGAAGTTTAATCCATCATGGGAAGTTAGCATGTTCCCAAAGAGACAGACTCGTCGCCCTTTGACGTAGCATTAAGAAGCTCCCAGTGATTCAGAGAGAAGCAAAGTTTCTTTACCTTGTCCTCCATGTAGAAGCTACAGAGATACTCTGCACCACACGCCTGTAGCAAACACGCCAGTCCCTTTCATTCGAGAAGTGCGCTCTGAAAGCCGAGCTCGTTGGGACCGCCTAGCTTGTGTACCGGCTGCCTTCAAGCCTCTCTTTGGCTTTTTGTCTGGTTTGGTGTGTTAATATTTTCACATGCATTCTTAAATCTTTGATACTAGGACAGGAGCAAAATGCTGCCAACCCCTCCAAACGCTGACTCTCTTGCAATAAGGGGGCAGTCTTGTTATCGGAGCAAATTTGACCTGGAAATCATCGTAGTAGGGTGCCCTGATGATGTATGCTCCGGTGTCTTTTTCTGACTGTAGCTGCATTGTTAAAGGCAGGACTGGGCT